CTACTACTACTACTACTACGACAGCTTCTTCGCAGCAGCTGCTGCTACCGTGGCTGCTGAAACGACAAGAAAGGTTAAGCTTTTGCTGTTTTCGATTTTCCACTGTCAGGCGGTGTTAGGGGACAGGTCTCGCCTTGCAATTGCAAGTACCTGCTATGCTGCCCGACCGCACGAGCTCCTAAGATGCCAAGTCCAGAAGGCCCCAAGGCCAAATTGCAAGCTCTGAGCCGTTCAATTTCAGCTCCTTCCTGGTTCAGGATTCTGCTGGGCTTCCCCGACGATGCTGTCAGGGTCCGGCACCATCGCTTTCGAGAAGTTGCGTTCCTGAGTATTTAGAACGAAGCTAGCATGCAGCAGTGATGCCATAAAGCCGATGATAGTCACATGAGGTCTTGCGTATACTCGCATGGCCTCTTCGTGACAAGTTGTTTGCTGAAATGGGAGAAGCGATTAATTAGAAAATCAAGCAAGGAGACTTACTATCACCGTGTTTCCTCGAAGCCATTTGGAAGAGCCTAAGTGAAGTCGTAAGTCGTAAGTGTCGACGTGCCAGTTGGCGGTCCTCGAGCGTTTCCTCAGCGGCTTCGTCCGGCCACAGGTGCGGGGGCTGGGGGGCATGGGAATGAGGGTCTCAGCTCGAAACTTGAATTCGGCAGGTTGGGGGTGTAGGTATGTACTATGTTACTATGTCGCCGCTATGAAGGCATTTCTGGCGAGGCTTCTTCCCTTGAGAGTCGCCTGACACTTGGATCGCTTCTTCATTTATGGAGGTGGCATTTTTGTCGACAAGGCATGCTTGTGTGCCTGGGTCTGCCATCTGCGGACCTGAGCCTCAGTCGAAAGCTGCTTGGAGGGATGAACACAAGCGTGCATGTGCGAGTGTTTGTAGAGGCATGCGGACTGCGGACGCACACGCAAACACATGCGTACAGACGACAGAGAGGAGAGAGAGAGAGAGAGAGAGAGAGTGAGTGACGGCAAGAGTGACAGTGACGAGCGACCGATAGATGGGGAGAAGGAAAGAGACGGACGGAAGAGCATCGACATGCGGGTACTTGCATGATTGTATACATGCAGACGTCACTCTAGCGGTGTTTTTGGCAATGCAAAGACAGAGAGGGAGAGAGAGACGTGTGGGGATACAGGCAGGGCTGATGCAGGTCACGGGGGTACCAATGGAGTTAATTACCGTCGGGAGTGGGAGCACCGAGCCTGCCGGGTAGCTAGTTCTTGGTAGGTAGCCGAGGTGGGGGACACCAGGTGCTCAGGTGCTCTGTCGAAGGAGAGTGGGCACCAGCCTGAAAGGCAGGTGGACCTGCCCCCACGGAGGCACTCCCTTCCGTTCATGTCGGCCGAATGACCAGTCCGCTGCACAGCTGAGCCCATCCGGACAATATTTTTTTGGATGGTGTAGCCCGAAAGCACGGGCTGCAGGGACTGCCTGCAGCTCTATCTAGAGACGTGTGTGCATACATACATACATATATATATATATACATATATGGTCAGACGTCTGGCATTCCCGGCCCCCTCCCCCAATGGTATGGTCTGGTAGGGGTGGGGGTGGGTGGGGTTGCGGCCAGGGGCCGGGTCGGGCCGGGCCGGGATCTTACGCAAGCCCTACGGAAGCCATAAACCCTATAAGGTAGGGCCTGTTCCTGTTTCTATTAACCTTAACCTGTACTTAATACTTTAAACCTTACACCCAACC